ATCTAATTTATTTTATTAGAATCAGTTTTGCAGTATATTTACCCCTACAATGTACATTCCTTATATCCAAACCTTGATTTTGCCTTACAGGAAAATTTTACCTATACATTCTCTCACAGATTGTTAAAATAAAACTTTATTAAAGGGACTTTTTGTTTCTTCTGGAACCTCTCTATCTTCTCATTGGATTACTGATACAAACCTGAAGTTATTTAAAAAATTACAAGTGGGGTGATAAGTTACCAATGGCACAAATTTTCCTCACCAACATCTGTGACCCTCTTCCTTTGGCAAAGGAATGGAACACAAAATATTAGGGCTAAATGTGACTTTTACTGTTTTCTAGTCCAATCTGCACTTTTCAATCTTTTGTGTAGATTAAAAAAAACAAAAACAAAAACAACTGACGCCTAAAGACGTGGAGGACTTGGTCAAGACCCTGTAACTGGTAGCTGGACGCACACCAGGTGGAGAGGCAGATATCACATTGGTGGCAACAGTAATAGTCAGAAATTTTGGGCGATGTATTACTTGACAAGCAGAATGCAATTCTGGAACCAGAGGGGCACTTCTCATGCAGTCACTGTACAATGTATCTGACTGACTTGAATCTACTCCCTTAGAGCCTGTGTAGACCCACTGAAACTGTCTGAAAGGAACCCACAGTACTCTGCCATATTTAAAGAGGTTTGGGCATGCTGGCACTTTCTTGTTATAGCTCCTGTTCTGTCCCCACAGAATGTCTTTAGGAAAATCCTACAATGAAATGAAGTTACGTTTGGGAATTCATTTGCTATCCTCATTGGTTTCTATTACTCCTTACTAGATCTATGATTTACCTGAGATATAGTTGGTATATCTAAATTTAATTATCAGCCTCTAAGCTGGGAGATAGGCACTTCATCAGTTCTCTCTTGTTCCTTCCATCATCATGATTCAAACTGCTGGGCCAGGCTTCAGGAGTGTGGTTACTGCACTGTATGTCTTCATCATTTAACCACTATTCTTATCTTTTTATAGGAGGGTAGTACTTTCTCTTTTGGTTAAGAAACTAATGACACTGGTGTATACCTTACCAGTTACAAATTGCTACTATGCATGCTACTAATGGCTACAAGTCTGTTCTCTAACTAATGGCTTCTATTTGCTTGTTGGACAAAAAGTATGTGCTAAGCGTATGGTTTAGCTCGGTTAATCTCTGTTTATATCAGTTTTATCTTAACAGGTTAATGAAATTGTGATGCGTATCAAATAAATAGGTTCAACTTTTATCGCACACACTTTTTATATAATGCAGCTTTTAATCATTTAACTTTCAAGTTTAAAATAAAAGTAGTTATATGCTTTGAATATGAAAGAGCAAAGTGTTCCCAAGAACTTTGTAATATGTATCTCTTGGAGATAAAACGTATACATAAGATAAAAAGTATCCCTATTAAGAATTTATAAAAGGATCTGATGAAGATTTTGATCTATAATTTTGCATTACTTTCAACTGAGAGTCTGTGAGTTTATTTCTCAGAACCCCAGGATAGTCTACTAACATGACTGCATAAACTTATGCTTCATCTTTATCTTTGTCAGTATTATCTTTTATGCAATATGGTAGTCCTTAGGGAGCATTAATTGCTAGCTATCTTTTAGCTACTTAAGGGCAATCTTGGAACAATTACCATGTGTTTATGGGAATGAGGCATTCATTTATTTATTGCCTTTCTCCTAAAAATCTCATAGCACTTGAGTCAAGAAGATAAGAGTATAAATATGACCACTTATCTTTGTGGGAATTACCCCTTTCTCTATCTCTACCATCCACCTCAGCAACAGCCCAGCACCCTTATATGGGCTCACTTTTACAAGTTCAAACTGTAATGATGATTGCCATTCAAAAGCATATTGCATCTGTCCTTTCTCAACTATCTTTTCCTCCCTTTCCTTCCCCCCACTTCTTTCTTTTTTCTTGAAGTGGAACAAGGACCCTGACTTAGGAAGCATACAAATCTGGTTTTGTAGAGGTCACTGGTCCCATTTTTAGACAAGATTATTAGACATATGAAACAATCACTGCATTGGGGAGTATTTCAAATGGGCAGACACGTGCCACAGACTATCTCACTAAACCTATTCAGTTGATTTAGGATAAATAAATCTTACTACTTCATAGAGCTATATAAATCTTTTCCCTTTTCATTACTTTTATCCATATCTATCTATATCTATATCTATATCTATATCTATATCTATATCTATATCTATATCTAGCATATAAAATATATGGCAATATGTGACATAACAAAGTCATATAATGTGATTTACCAGAGGGAGAAAACAAAGATCTGATACTTTTCAACCTCTGAATTTATTGTTTGACACATTTCCAGATATTACAAGCAAAAATACATATAAGAAGACCTCAACATTATATTTAAATTATTATTTTAAATGCTTTGCAAAGATTCATGACCCAACTTCAAAAGTATATTTTTCCTTCCAGAGAGATATAAGATAGAAGGAGGACTTGAAAAGTTCATGCCAAATTAACACCAAGGAAGTCAGACAATATAAACAATAATTAACATATTGTTTCTACTCTCTCTTTCTATCTCTTTTAGATTATAGTCTTTACTAGCTATTATGGCATAGCTGGTTCTTTACAAATTTTACATTTTAGAAGTAATTTATTTTACTAACCTAAATATTTTCTCTATTTTAAAAAGTGGTATTATATTATTTTATTCATATTGTCATTTATTTAATGTCACTTAATTCAGATAAGATGAAGATAATTAAAGTATAAAACTGATTCATTCACTATGATATAGAAAAAGGAAAAAAAAAATCAACCCAACACACACACACACACACACACACACACACACACACACACACACCCCATGGGTTTTAGAGGTCTTTTTGACTCAGCCTGAATACCAGCCATGCTACTTGCCATACTACTGGATTAGAGGTTTTTCTGCAGGTTAATTAACCTGTCTGAGCTTCAGTGGACAATGATACTCATAGTAGCTGCCGTGAAAATGAAATGGTCAACTGTAGGTGTAAAATGTCTGGCACATAGCACCAATAATGGCTATCGTTTAATGTGGCTTATTATGACACATACTATGCTAAATGCTTTATATATTAACAAATTTAATCCTTACAGTATTACTATAGAGTAGGAGTTATTTCGGTCTTATTTTCACAGATGTGGAAGTAAAGGAGAGAGATGGTAAATAATTTACCTAAAGCTGTATAACTCTTAAGTGGCAGGAGTTTTCAAAACTCAGTGGCTTAAACATTTATCTTCTCTCATGATTTTATGGGTTGACTGGATTGAGGTAGGTGGTTCCTTTGCTCTAGAAGATGTCAACTGCAGCTGTAGCCATCTGGCTTTGGTGGTGGTGGTAGTGGGGAGAGGTGGCAATGTCTGAGATGGTTTATCACAAGCCTGGCATTCAGTGCGGACTGTCTGCGGGCAGCTCAGATAGACCTGTCGACTGGACATTCTACTTTTCCTCCTCTTTGCAATACTGCTCGAAGCTTCACCATAGGGACTGGTTTTGCTCAGTGTTGGAGGCTGGGTTACAGGAAGCAGTGTTGTAAGAGGACAAGCCCCAAAGTGCAAACGTGTAAGATGCTTCCACACAGACAGACACATGGACAAGTCCAGAACCAATGGAGAGAGCAACACAGGACATAAATACCGGAAGGCCCCATTAAGGTCACTAAAGTAACAGACCAGTGCAACAGCTGTCTTCAAAAGTACACTTTTGGGTCTTCCAGACTGTCAAGGCTAACTGTTATCTTCTGTTCCCCTTGGGCAGCATGTTGGTCAATGCCTTATGAGAGGGACTTAGGAGTTTCATACACATACTCAGTTGTATGCTTTTAGTAAGCTTTTATACTTGCCTGTTTTCAAATATGATGTGAAGTTTTAATTTTATATAAGTGGTTTAAGAGAAATATCAGTTTTATGAAAAAATGCTTCTCAAAGATTTAAATTACATTTTTTTGTTTTTTTTTTAAATGCCATTTGCTATTGGGTTTTATAAGTTATAATTTTTAGTGAATAAGGAGAAATGAGCTAAGGTTTATGTCCTGTCATTATTCAAATAAAAGTGTTTATATAGCAATCTATTTTTTAGAGTATAAGATTAATTTTATATTAAGAAATATTAAGAAAGTTCAAAGGGATGGCTTTGAGCTCACTATTTCTGTAAAAACAGGATTTTTTCCCCTTGAATTTTTAATTCTTTTTTCCATTTTATATAAATTAAAGTAATTTAGTTCTAATGGCATTTATGTAGATGGGTTCCATATAAAAATGTTTGTTTAGAAGTTCTACTTCAGATAAAGCATCCTTATTTGTATATGAAATTTATTTCCAAGCAGAAGTATTTTACCTTAATGACCTAAAATATTTTAACTGTTTCTTCTATTAATATTGAAATTTTAACAGCTTTAGAAGAAGTAAACAGCTTATAGAGATTAGAAAAATATGTAGCCCTTTACTTTTGATTCATTACTTCAATTTAAACTAGCAAATGATTTACAGGTAATAAATACCATTTCAAAGCTGTTTGGTGACCAGTGCAAACTCTGATAATGTCATAGCCTAATATCAAGATTCTGAGGGGTTCAGAAGATGATATCTGAACTACATTATCTTCTTTTTTTAAATTTTTAATATTTTTATTTATTTTTGACAGAGAGAGAGAGAGAGAGAGAGAGCGGACAGTGAAAGGGCAGAGAGAGGGAGAAACAGAATCGGAAGCAGGCTCCACGCTCTTAGCCATCAGGGGGCCCAAACTCATGAACAGTGAAATCATGACCTGAGCTGAAGTCAGATACTTAACCGACTGAGCCACCCAGGCGTCCCCTGAACTAGATTATCCTCTTAATGGCTGTGGTATTGCTAGTGAGGTTTTCGTTTGTTTGTTAATTTTAAGGAACTAAGATAGAGATATACAAAAGAAGTAATGAAGAGAATCAGTACTTACTTTTTGTGACAACACCTTCCAGTCGAATGATATTTGGGTGGTCAAACTGACCCATGATACTAGCTTCTCTTAGAAAATCTCTTCTTTGTCGATCCATGTGGCCACCTTTCAAAGTTTTGATGGCAACGGGGATCTCTCTTTTCCCTGGTGTCTTCAATCGCCCACTACAGACTTCTCCAAATTCTCCTTAAAATATGAACAAAAGTAGTTGTTTAAGCAGAATACTTACATTCCAGAGGAACTGAGTTGTCATACGGTACTGTTTTTTTTTTTTTGTTTTAACATGACTGTCAACTGTGTCATTTCCACATGGAGATTTCTTTCTTAAAAATTAAACTTATAATGATGATGTGCTTGATCAGCATCATTTATAATGAATAATGGAATGCACTTTCATATGGTAAGGCACAGGAACTGCCATTGATAGATCTCCCTGATCTGCAGAGAAATTATGACTAGCAGAATGGGTGATGCTAATGTAATTCTATAGAAAAGCAATCACTGTATAACATTTCCTGTTCCTGTTCTCAATACTGAAATATGGGCCAAATGTCTGCTCTATTCAGGGAATCCATCAGGCATGTGTAGCTGACTTGATCCTGCAGACCATATATCTGAGCTTCACTACCACCAGAAATCAATGCTAGGGTCAACTGGTACATGAACATATTGAAATGACTACACTGAACTCAACTATAATAGGTGATTATACAGGCTAAATTACAAGTCACATGGTTGGAATACAAACATAGTAAGATAATTTATGGCTCAGCAATGGCTTTATTGGGAAGTAATGAATAGTAGGCAAATATTTATCACAAATTTAATATACATATTTAATATATATATTAAATATACATATTTAATATGTATACATACACACATATGTATATGTATACATATACATATACGTATACATATATATGTATACATATACACATATCCAGTGCTACAGTGCTGTGAGTTCAAAGAAGTGTAAGACTTGGTCTCTGTTCTTAGGAGCTTACAGTCTAGCAGAAGAGTTTAGCTGAACAAATATAACACTCAAGAACATAAGAACCAATCTCTGCAAATGGTGTATTAGTTAACTAAGAACAGTGGCAGCTAGAAGGCTTCCTGGAGCAGGTGAAACTTTTGCTGATGTTGAGCGATAGGTACGATTTGGATATTCAAGAAAAGCAGTAACGTTCCAGGCAGGAGTGCACAGAGGGAGCGAGAAAAATGAAGACAATGTTTCAAAGGTCAGAAGCCAAGGGTGGCAAGTGAGCTTATCGTGGGAAAGAAGTTTGGAAGTTTTCTTAGTGCAATGCAATAAATTCAATAAAACTTGAAATTCCAGACTTAACTTTTCTGAGGCCAATTACCTACATTTGCTTAAGAGCATGATGCTTGATCACCAATTTATTAATCTATCAAGTAAAGATAATAATAAAATCTTCCATAATTCTATAATGTCCCTTCCTCATCAGGATACCGGGAAGATCAAAAGTGATGCTATATATAAAAGTGCTTATCAACTGTAAAGTGCTGTTCATGTACTTTAAGTTATATGAATCTTTGGAATGGTGAAAGAAATGAAAATTAAAGTATCTTCAGTTAGTTTATTAGCTAGCAGTTCTGGCTAATAGTTCAATGTAATGTAAATTTAAGTGTAGAGAACCAAATTAAATTTTTGAAGTACCATAGATTTCAATTATCCTTATTTGGTCCAAAGAAGAACCAATTCATTATAATCAACTAAATATTGACTATACATGAATATTAACCACCTTCTGCTATAAATGCTAAGATATTTTTTAAGTGAAAAAAAAAAAAAAACACTAGGAAGGAAATAAGCCAAAATATTGCTTCTAAATTATGTGTAAACATGTCTATTAGAAATAGAAAGCAGTCTAACAAGAGAGTTTACTCTATTTACGTTAAACCAACAAACAAGCAAATAGAAAACTCAGACTAGAGTGGGGTTCCCAAGTTCAGTGCATATGATATTAGAGTTTTATAAATCTTGTTTAATTTGACATCAAAACAAGAAAAGTCTGTTTTTACTTAATGATACTCTCAACCTGTTGGAGGTTAAATGTTTCATGTTGACAGGAAAAGGAGGCTGTAGTTTTTCAGTTTTGTAATTACAAAAAAAAAATTTTTAAAGATTTTCTCTCAGACATTAAAAAAATGGCAATTGGTAGAGATGTTTGACATTTTACTATTGAAGCTCTGAAACTTGAGAGAAAGGTATGTACCTATGTCTAAATTAATGTCTTATACATCCAGGCCTACTAAGGTACTTCAAATTCCTTCTTGGACCACTGTGGTTTGTTATAATAAATATCCACAATAAAACAGATATTTCTTTTTTTTATTTTGCCTTAATAAGTTTGCTAGTGAAAATAGAAGCTCACCAATATTTTAAAACTCCTCACCTGTCTTGAGCCCATAATGCAAGTGATTTTCTGTTAGCATTTCATAGTAATCCAAATAAACTTTTGAATGTAGTGAAATAAATAGAAAACACTGGTGTTATTTGATCAAGACAGGCAGAGTGGTAATTTTCTTTGTTTTTTTTGTTCTCTGAAATTTATGTATCCTATTATCACCAGGTAGGTGTTTTCTTCATGTCAAACTTTGTACCATCAAGCTGTTATCACACTTATTTCAGTGACACTAAATATGGTTGCCTCAATTAAAGATCTGAGACTCCTAGTGCATTCTTCAGGCAAAGCCCAAAAATTGCAGTCAGGAAATGTATTAAAACCCTTATCTGTGGAAGGCCTGAATGTATAAGACATATCAGAGAGGAAAAAATAATCTAAATCAAATGCATAGTTTAAGATATTGCCAAAGGCTGTTCCATTATATTATTGTCCTTGTAGCAGGAGTTGAGGCCCTGTACATAACCATCAGTAAGATAAATTATTCTTCACTATGATGTGTGAACATTTTTATATACTGGTTAGTGCATCATTAACTCATTGACTACAGGAATATGGTGCTAACTATAGTTTTTTTTCTTTTCCAATCATTGTCGCCATCATTATTACACAGGTAGCACTTATACATTGCTTACCATGAACCAGATCTAAAAACTAAATATATATTTTGATCTTGACAACAAACATTTGTGGTGGGTACCATTATTATCCCCACTTTGCAGATGAAGAAGCTGAGATACATGGGCTAAATAACCTGCCTATCGTGACACAACTAGAAAGTGGTAAAACTGTAATTTGAACTCAGGAAGTCTGGCTCCAGGGTCTGTGCTTATAACTACCATTTAGTGGTGTCTGGGATGTTTATTATTATTAATATTATGTTATTATATTATAATAACAATTAGTATTGGATTTTCCATATAAAGTCTACATAACCAAATTAAAACTGTGAGAGAATGGTGGAGGTGGTGAGGGACCATCCATTTGGGGGACTGTCACCTCACAATCTCTTGGAAGATTTCCAAAATTTGCTCTTCCATGTCTGAGACTCTGGTTTCCCCTACCTCCAACCCCTTGAGAGTCAATGAAGCCAAGAGCCACACTCTTGATGGCTTTTTAGAACATATCTCTCAGGTATAATGAGGTATTTCTTTCCTTACACTTGCTATTTCCCTCTGATAGGAATGTTCTCCACAAAGTGTCCTCTTTCCTCCCTTGTCCATCTTCCTCAGTCCTCTATGGGGATGGTTTCTCATAAGCAGTAAAGGCCAAGATTTGAGGTCCCTCCTGCAGAAAACTTGCTCTGATAAATCCATCTAATTTAATCTCCACTACTAGCAGTCCCTTCTAAATGAGAAAGAAAAAATTAGCAGCTCAACAATCAGAAGCTGTCCTCGGTCTCACAGTTGGGCTATGTAGCTCTCCTATCACACACTATACCAGCCTTGACAAGGTTACTCTGAGACCATGACAAAATGAGACAGAGCAAGGTCACTGTGTACTTTGCCTAAGCACAGACAAAAGGCAAGGTCACATGCCAAAATACTAAATATGCCCTCCTCTCTTGGCTAGAATGAATAATGGCTCTTTCTTCACCAATTCTATCCTTATCCTTGTTCTTGTCTCCCCTCTGTGGAGATAAGATTCATTAAGATATTGTGGTGTAAGTCCTAAAATTAAAGCCCAATATTATGTGCTGTTTTAATATCTGGGGGAAACTGGGAAGGCCTCAAACAGCCTTCCCACAGGCTCTCCCTCCCACTCAGCTCCCATATATATGGTTCTCTAGCCAAATATCCCTCTTTACCAAATGGCTCATATATAGTTCTTCCTTATCCCCATGTAGCAGGTTTCACTTTCCTGTCAGTCTGTGGAATGATTCAAACAAGCCAATCACATCCTCCTAAGGGAAACAGAGGGTGCCTTATCCTCTTGGTACTACAAAGCCTGTCTCTTACAGCCTCCCTGGTTGTTTGGTAGGTTCCCAAGTGCAACCTCCAGGTGGCCCTGTGTAGTGTGTGGTGTCCTCTTCCTCCCTGGGCTGTGAGTACATGTAATTGATAAATATCTACCAACCTCACCTGCCTAACATAGGGTGTTGTGTTTTTGGCATTCCATGACTCTAGGGTAAGAATCTCTACCTCATCAACAGGGTGAAGCACTGTTCCTCAAAAAATTAAAAAAAAAAAAAAGAAATACCATGTGACCCAGTAATTCCACTACTGGGTATTTACCCAAAGAAAATGAAAACAGGATATTGAAGATATATCTACACTCCCATGTTCATTGCAGCATTATTTATGATAGCCAAGATAAGGAAGCAACCTAAGTGTCCATCAATTGGCAAATGGATAAAGAAGATGTATATATACAACAGAGTATTACTCAGCCAATAAAAAGAATGAGACTTTGCCATTTGCAACAACATGGTTGGACCTAGAGGGCATTATGCTAAGTGAAGTAAGTCAAACACCATATTATTTCACTTACGTGTGGAATCTAAAAAACAAAATGAACAAATAAAGAAAAAAGCAGAAACAGACCTATAAATACGGAGAACGAACTGGTGATCACCAAAGGGGAGAGGGTAGGGGTATAGGCAAAAAGGGGTGAAGGGGAGTGGGAAGTTCAGGCTTCCAGTTATGGGATGAATAAGTCACAGGGATGAAAGGTGCAGCATAGGGAATATAGTCCATGGTATTATAATAGTGTTTTATGGTGACAGGTGATAGTTACACTTGTGATGAATATAGCATA